TGTTGCTCAGCAAAAACAAGTTTTACGCTGTGAGTTGAGGAAACGCTCCCAACTCTTCAAGCTTCAATTGACATTAGAGATGTTCAGGTGGTCCAAGCACGCCCTTCGATTTGTGAAATATTGCTGATATCGGTGTTGAAACCGCCTATTAAATGAGCCAGATGAGAAGAATGAAAGAAAACTTTTGATTGATCAAGAACCGAAGTTCACCTTTGGGTATATAGCCATACTTAGGTGAGATGTGTAAGGTATGGGTTTGGACAAGTCTGCATTCAATTGAACACCCCATCCAAATCTTTCCTTTTGAGACACACCACCCACCATCATCAAGCTAGTTGAATTCCACTCTCACACTCGCCCACCTTAACATTTTGGAAGGCAAAGCAAAACCCTAAATGACCAACAAGAATCAAAGTGGCCAGAGTGAAGGCTGGTTGAGGTCAGTGTAAGTTAGGTTGAATCAACAGTGTAAGCTTGGAAGCTTTGAATGAAAGCACATGACAGGCTATGAAGAGTTAAATTAGGTTAAATTTGACGGAATCAAATTTAGGTTTAGGCCTGTGATATCGTAAAAAACTGAGTTTTGGACCTCAGATTAAAACCCAGTTAAAAATTGGTGACACGCCTTCCCTTGAAATTTACCAATAGTTCTTGAAACAGCTGTATATCTTTGTGCAAATTTGGGAGTGATCACACCACAACAAGACAGACACAATTTATTCCTTATCTGCTAGAGATTGATAGACGGCATGTTATTGCTAACTCACTGTCGACGTAGGTAGCCAACCCTGGTTGATGAAGTATTCATGTCTCTGAGTATGCCTCAGAAGATTGCCAATGTATCAGATCAAGAGTTCAAAGGGAGAGAGCTTAGAACCTTGTGACACATCTTTGCTTAACACAAGAAGTAGAAGATCAGCTTTCCCCTTGTAAAACTTTTTGAAACAGAACCAATCAGTGAACCAAGCTCATCATCCCTTTCTCTACAACAGCAGTCAACTGATGATGATGTGAAGGAGTGTAACATGTGGGGGGAGATCATTGCAACCTGCAGATTCACGGAAAAGTCCTTAAGTCCTCTCATCACCAATTGAGGTTCAAATGTTACAGTTGTCCATAGTTTGATCTTCTTCCAAAGCTCACTGTAATTGGATTTGTTGGGTGGCTGGATGAGATTGTCAGAAAATTGGTGATTTCCACAGAGAGCTTTCCGTGCTTGAAGTTCAAGTGTGCCAGCTTCATTCTGGGCTGGACAAGCATGCCCTGCAGCTGGCCTGTGGCCAGCTCTACCACCTTGCCTGTGCATGATTTGGGTCAAGTGAGGAGTAGCTTTCAATAATGTTCTAAAAGTTTTGACACTACTGTTTCATTATATCTTGGAATTCAAGAACAGATAATCAAGTTGAAATTTAAGTTTATAACTGGATTTAAATACAGCAACCACTGTATGAGGGGTTGGGTGATATTTTGACCAACTGGTTTTGCACCTCTCCGAAGCCTCCCACAAGGAGTCAAAGATGGCAGAGGACAAGTTTTCTGGTTTTCACAGATCTGTTACGGATCTGAGCCCAGAGCCGAGAGTGTTTAGGCAATACCCAGGCAAGCTTTTGCCAGAAGAGAAGGTCTAGGGGTTATTTGAAAGGTGCAAAAGGGGTGTTTGCATGGCTTGTACTACAAGCCCCGGGGCACAAATTGCTTTTCCCTGTAAGCCTTTTGAATGGGTGAAGCTTTGGAGTTCTCAAGAAACACTTTGTACTGGTCTGTGTTTTTGCAAAGAAAAAAGATTGATAAAAGTTTTGGTTGGTTAAGAGTGGCTTTGAAATTGCTTTCTAGCCATCTCACACCTGTGCTCCTTTAATTTTCCCTATTGTATCCCAACGCCTGACCGCAACGAAAAGCAGCGCAAAAACCGAAAAATTGCGCTGCGCGGAAAAAAACTAATTGCATCATTACGTTGCGCTTCGTTGAGAGCGCAATGCTGCCCAAAAAGTTTGGGTTTCGATGCGGAAGATACAACTTTTGCGCAGCGAAATTTTTTTTCTCGCAGCGCAAGAATTTGCGAAAAAAAACCGCTATGAAAAGCCCCGGACAAGTGCCTCGATTTCAAAGTAACAAGTCACAGATGGTCACAGATTGACATGAGGTTGTTAAAGGAAAATAACAGAAGACTCTTTTTTTTAAAATGAAATGTATATTTAAAGGTTTCTCTTGCCCTTTTTTTGCCTTCCCATAATCTTTTCAGCGATGCGCATAGCCTCTCCATAGTCTCCCGGTGGTGTGAAGCGCTTCTTGAGCCACTCGCATAGTCCTACAGCACGCTCAATTGTTTGCGAAGCTAAACCAGCTCGATCGGCTGTAATGACATCGGCAGCTGCACTGAAAGTGCGCTCAAAGGCACATGACGTACCTACACAACAAAGGTAGTCACGTGCTAATAAAGCCAAATTCGGAAAATGTTGAGCATGACACTGGCCGGTCCAAAAACAAGTCAGGATAAAGGAATATCGCTCGAAAGGATGGAAAGAACAACCGGAAATGACTTACAGCCCACCAATCCAAGATGTCTTGATTGTCATCGCACATGTACTTTCCTGAAAGATAGGCTTGAAGTTCAGCATCTCCAGGTTGTTCTGGCGCATTTTGCGAAGCGAAGATGTTTTGCTCCTTGAATATGTTTTGAGGTGTCGCTCCAGAATCAGCTTCAGCCACCTTGGAAGTGGAGGATACCTCGGGTGGATGATCTACGAGTAACACCTCATACGCGTTTCTCAATATGTTGTGTGCCGACTCGCTGTGATTGGGTAACAACTTCTCGAAGAATTTCCCGCGAAATTTCGGATTGAGCATGGTCGCCAGGATGATCGCATGACAATGCAGAGCTTCCTCTTGATAATCTTCCAGTCGACGAGACATGATGCTAATCATACCGGCCAGCCGGTGGTATGAAGTATTGGATCGAATAGCCTTGAGTGCCCGAATAGTGGTGGTATATTGGAACAAGACCGATCCAGCGTTCGGAGCATCACCCTCCATGCATTTGGTGGAAGAATAAAATATCTGAATTGTTCATGCAAACATCTATATCAATAAGGTTTCTGATACCCGAAACAAAAAGCTACGCACACTTAGCACATTGGTAAGAGCCTCGACCATCTTCCAGTCCTCTGGAGAGATGAATATACCATCGAAGAGATTGTCTTCATCCTCGTTCAACATGCGATTGACAATCTGCAAAAAGGATGGTCACAGTCATTACCCAAAAAGTTATACACATAAAGAGATTTCATGTACCTTCTTAGCCTTAAGCAAACGCTCCAACATATCCAAGAATATGTTCCAGCGCTGACCGTGGGCTGCAATCAAGCCTGGCCCGGTGTATGATTCTTCTTTAGCAATAGCACGGAACAGTTGCATCATCGGTCCATTCCTCGAGATAGTCTTGTTGACTTTTGAACACTGTCAAAAGCAAAGGTGTGAGATGGGAAAATCATCCACGAATGAGGAGTATTAGTGTCTACTTACCTTGTGGATTGCTTTTGAGAAAGAGTCACCGGAATCGATTTCGGAAGCTTCGATTTCATCACCCGATTCTCCATCATCATCTTCAGAGTTGCTTTCATCAACACATGGATCCTGATTATCTTCCGAAGGTGGTTCTTCAATGTCTTCATCACCGTCTTCAACTACATCTTCACCATCATTCAAGACAATCACTGGGGGCTTGTTGGATTTGGGCAAATCGGGTAAAAGTAAACATAGCTTCCGTCCTCTGGGAGCAGTTGGCTTAGAGGCGCCGGATCGGACTCTGAGACTTGCCAGCCCTGCCTTCACAGCCAATGCTAGCTTGTGAGCATAGCATCGGATCTGATGACGGCTGGAGTCCCAGTACACTGATTCGTCCGCTGACATGAACATCTCCTGGAGTTCCTTTGCAGTGAGGTTGTTTGTGCCCCCGGAGTCGGTGGTTTGAGCGACCATGTGGCTATCACGAAACACAAAGTTAGCTTTGGAATCAAACGGAAATCATCAAACAAAAAACTCATCTTTTTGTGCAGCCCGTGTCTGATGAGAAACCGACCTACCGGGCGAGCGAGGAGAGCGCCGTAATGATTCCAAGCCACCAGCTTGAGAGTCAAGTGGTGAACATGGAACTTCCAGTTCTCATCAATGTACGAGACGGAAACGCCAATGAAGGCTCGGCGTCCATGCTTGGTTGTCCATACGTCATGGATCAAGCAAAATTTGCCTGGTAGGTTCTACATAAATCATATCAAATTAGAAAGATTCGAATGGAACAAACAAAAAAACTTACCTTTAACCTTTGTATCACATCATTATGTATACCTTCGTAGATCTTCATCGCTTCTCTTGCTGCCCAAGCAGGAGTGTACAAAACCACCGATGGATTGGTGAATTGAAAGGCAGCTATGAGGAATGGGTCGGCCATTCGATTCCAAGGCAGTGCTTGTCTGACTAGCCACAGAACAAGCATGCAGTTCAACAACCGAACGGTGAACTTCGGAATTTCCAAGAAGACATCGAGGAGTGATGCCTTCGGACCTTTGGAGTCTTCAGCTGCCTTCGCTTCGAGTTTCTCGCGATGGGTTGGTGGTAATTTAACCCCAGCCGAGATCGCTTTGTCTCGGGAAAGGCAGGGTTTACGACCTACCCCACCATCTCGGTGGCCTTTCAAATTGAAATGATTTGTTTCGCCGTCGCGATAGCGCTTACCACACCACAAACACGGAAACAACTTTTTCTCGGTGTCGTCGGGCTGAGATCCAAAAGGATAGGTGGGAAAGTGAGTTACAAATGAAATGATAGAGAAAGACATACAAAAGAAAAGTCAGTTACTTTTCATTTCATATAGATCTTCAACCTCACGTACATTTGCAGGGTCCCATATAGGATCATCGAAGTATGAAAAGAGCTCATCGGTGTCTTGGGCAGTTTGTTTGCTTTGTCCAGGTCGTTTCTTTTCGGGGTTGATGATCATCTCGATGTCGGAATCGTTATCGACATTTGGAACAAGCGCCTGTGGGACTTTGGAACGCTGAACGTAAAAAAAAAGGTTGATTAAACTGGACATGACATACAGGTAAGGGAAAAAAAATTAATCACCTTCTTTTGACTTTTCGCTCGACCTTTTCCTTTTGTGCTTTTGGACAACTTCCTTTGCTTCTTTTTTTGCTTGCCTGATCGTGAAGCGGCGGAGTCCGCAGATGAAGATCTTTCATCTGATGAAAGATCTCCCCCTTCGTCACTTGTAGGGTCTTCGTCGATAACCTCAACTGGATTTTGGCGAAGAGGAGACGCGACAGCAAGGCGAGAGTCGCGTGGCTGGGCCACAAAACCTGGAGCCGTTCGAGTTGCCTGTGGGCTACGCGGACGAAGGCTCCGGCTTCCAGACGGTGATAGGGGATGTAGCAATGATGGAGAAGATTTGGCGGCTGAAGCCTCAGCACGGGCTCGGTTTGCTGCTTTGAGGTTTGCCGCAGCGGCCGCACCCGGTTAAATTTATAGCGAGAAGTCATGACTCTGAAAGGTAATGGAGAAGTGCAGAAAGGAGTGTTGACAGATTTGAAAAAAGATAGAGGCACAGAAAGAAAAAAGACGGTGGATCAGAAATAATCAAGGTGGGAAGAAAGAATCAAGTGAACCTGTGATTCTGATTGTTTTTCAAATCAAGATGTTTCTTTTTTCAGCCCCTTGCTGATGGTATGTCTCAGCAGTCTGCTTTGAGCTTGTCTCGATCCGAAAGAACGGCATGTGGAATCCAGGGGTAGCTTTTAGCTTGGTGTGGCTTGTCACCAAGCTAAAAGCATCCTCATCGACTGCTCACCAATGCCCACGCCATGGTCCCCCTCATCCCTTATTTAATCTACCGCAATACATGGCACAATACCCTGATTTTGGCCATTGCGTTGCAAATTTCCGCAATGACCTCACCACATAAAAAACTTGTGTTGCGGTACACCGCAACAAATAAAACAGGCACTGCGAGTGCGCTGCTACGCAGTGCAGCGCACTAAATCACGCAAAAAATTTGGCTGGTGGTTACGCGTTGTGTATCCAGTGAAGCAAAAGAATCTATCTCTGGATAGAGTCTGATTTTTGCCCAAGATCTAATTCTAGAGCTAGAGCTAGATCTTTCTGAGGTTTTTTTTGCTAAGTCCGTCACTGAGCAGCTACCCCCACCGAGTTTTTCAAACCCACCAGCCTCACCAGGCTCACCAGGCTTACCACAGCTGCACCACGCTCACCACATTCCCACCTGCCTCACCACATCTTTACCAGTGCCAAGGCATTCTCACCATGCACACCACAATCTCACCACAATCTCATCATTCCACATCAGCTCACCATTCTCACCACAGCAGGTATGCCCCCCCCTAATCTCACCATTCCACACCAGCTCACCAGGCTGTCTGCACCATACAAGTCCACCATAACCCCCCGGACGGAGGTTGCTCACCATCGGTACCCCACCGTACTCCCCATTTGACTGGCGCACCTCTGCCAACCAACACCACACCATCCACCTCCCTTGTCACTCACCACACCACTTAATCAACAAAAATCATAACCACACCCCAACCCACCCTCATCACCATGCCACCACGCAAGCGTTCACGTGTTGTTCGCTCCACTAGAAAAACACAGCCATCTTGCAATCGCAAAGCATTGACATCGACCACCAAGAAGAAGGCATCCCCCACTGCAGACAATTCTGGTGACAGAACTGGTCAAGACAATTATGTGCCTAGTGACTTGGGCAACAACAACAACAAACCGGAGGATCTAGAAGGCTCTCCTCCTCCAACAAACACTCAGTCATCAGCATCAGCGCCCAGCCCCCAAGCCACCCATACCACTGATCCTATTCCGTCTTGCCAGCCTACCAACGAGAAATTGACTATCTACAACTACTCAACGCTTGGCCAACAACTTGGACAGCCCGCTCTTGAGAGAATGCTCAACGACCCCGATTGTAAAACCCAGAATCAACTACCATCAGCAGTCCTAGCAGAGGCACAGGCCCTTCAAGGGTACTACACAATTGAAAAGCTCAGCCTATCTTTGGTCGGCAATACCTCCCTCACTACCGTCAAATCTACACTGTGAGTATAACCACTGCGCCTTCCACCTCCCTCACTTCTCTTATCATGATTGAAAAATCTCTCCCATCCCCTGACCACAGTTTTGAAGGCCCTGTGGCTTGTGAACAAAACGGCTACACAACCTGGCTGTGCTACAGCCAAGAAAACACTGTTGACATATCAAGTGCGTATTCATCTGAGAGGTCCAGCTTCCCATCTCAAACAATGTAAAGAAATGAAGCTAACGCACAAAACCAACCACTGATGAACCATAGTGCCTGCAGGAAAACAACCTGACGGTTTTGCCAAACATAACCAAGTCGGTCGAAGATGGACTGAACTTGAAGAGGACAAGAAAGAGACATTCCAACCCCAACTTTTCAAGCGTCTAGCCTTGGCCCATTTTGCAAGCGAGGTAACTCCAGTACCAGATGAAGAGCGCCTCACCGACGCAGAGCACACAACGTATATGGGATTTTTTAGCAAACATGTCAATCTGGACAAGGTCTTTAAACACCTCCAGAGCGGAGTCCTTGGCCAAACCATAGCTAATTCAATTGCTGTCATCGAAAAACGGGGTCGCAAAGAGATAGGAAAAGTAGCCAACCAGGTGCGTCTCTAATGACCAATTTTTACCAACATCAACATGCACTTATATTATTCCAATCTTGCATTTGAAATTAGTTACAAAGTATATTCAAACACTTTGGAATCCATTCACACCTCCTTGTGGCCAGTTGGAATCCCAAGTCAAAGCTAGATGACCCCATGTGAAACCCGGAATATACAACTTGCCCTCGATTTGCAGAGGATGCCAAGCGTATACACCACCTAGCAAAGGATTTTGCCATCAGATTGACCGCCACCCAGATCAACTCCACTGAAATCACACAAACCAGTATGCCAAGCACCACTGTCAAGTCCAAGCAGGAGGTATTGAGGACCAAGCTCACCAACCTTTTGAACAATGAGATATGTAAGCCACACTCACACTCAAAAGGTTGGGTGGATCTGATGATAAGAATTGAGACTCATCAGTCATTTGGCCCAATCTAAACCTTTCCAGGCAAGAACTTACCCAATCCACCCCAGGGCCCCAAACACAATGTATTCCCCAAGACACCCAATCCACATGATACTATTGCACGCCGGCTGTTCCAAGGCATACAGTTAGTGGTTTGACAAGCCGAGGATTCCTGTGTGACTGAACATTCTGGCCTTAGGAGTCAAAGGACTAACCGACAAACAGGTCCCGGATTGGATAGATGACATTGAAAATGGCCGATATTCAATCCATGTTGCCCAAAGAGATGTAAATATTACAAATGAATAATGTTTACACTTTTACAGTGATGCAACACATGTCCCAAAGTACACATACCATCAGGGTTATATTGAGCCTCGTGATGAGGCTCTTGCCTTGGAGACATACTTCTTCCGTGCGCCTTCTCAATTGTATAAACAAAACAACATATTAAAAAAATTCTTGCACAATTGAGATTAACCCATACAAGCATCTGGTGCGTGCTCACATCTGGATTGACCTCACAGACAGCAATAACTCTCTGAAATGTATGATTATCTGTGGCATGTCATTCCAGTCAAAGTATATTAGATTGATACAACCAAAAGATACAACGGACTTGTAACTTGGTACCCAAACCCTATCCTAACCCTTTGACTGAATCACGATATCTAAGTCTTACCCTTCAATGTTCCTCAAATACCTTTGTCCTTGACCTCAAATTGACCCTGGCCATTCCTGCAGCTACTGTCAGTGACCTCAACACCAGGCCGACGACTGAAGTCCAGAACAAAGGAATGACAAGTACCACATCAATATCAATATTCATACCACCATAATAATATTGAACATACTCAGTGGGAATTACAAAGCTTCCTGGTTGGCTTTATACAAGGCCAGTCCTAGTTCATAGCCAAACTTAATAGGAGGCACCTCTTTTCCCTCCGAAGATTGTACCTTTGGTGGTTTGTCTCGTAAATCCATGTCAAGAAACGGATTTACAAATGATTAGGAAGTCGCCTGGGGTATGGGGCTTGGGTTATGTGTATCTAAGTCAGCCCATTTCTGTTCGCAATATTCCTTGTTCTTGTAGTGCCTAGGGCCCAGATGCGGAGCCAATTGGTTAGGGGCGTAGCGAGCCCACCACCGTGAGCGTTCCTCCAAGTGTGAAGTTGAAGACAAATTGCTTGGGCCGTGCTTGGGTGATAGACACCGGTGTTTGTTATGCAAGGCGTTTGACGTCAAAGAATTTAATTTTTGGGAAGACTTGACAACCGTGGAGTCCACAAGCCACCCAGGTATACCAGCCTCCAAAAAGTGTGATGGAACTGGAGGAGGAGTGGCCACTAGGTGCTCTCGTCCTAATGAGAGTCGGTGCGGACGTTTGTCAAGAAGTTGCTTAGCAGGCTTGGATAACGGCACAGGCCCTCTGTCAATTGGGACGGCCTCATTGTCAGATCGTGTTTCAACCTTGATTGGGTTGGGTTCCTACGTACAGACAAACAACAATCAGATACATGTTAGTTCAAAACATTCTTTCACGATGAGACCCAAATCACACTGACAATTCTTGATTGAATTTCTGCGGTATTGATTTTGATCTATCCCTGAACGTATAATGGATTCAGCACACATTAATGGCTTCAGACAGCTAATGATTGTTGCAAGCTTAACTAAGCCCCTCACGAGCGCGTTCGCCGCGCCCTCGAAGAGGGGCTTACATCGGACTCGCGATTTCTGGCATGTGAGCTCCAAGAATTATGTCTTCTTATGTTGTTTTCTTCACGTCTCCGCTTCACCTCACCGTAGAAAATGCAATACTTCGAGTATGTCCTTCTTCATGAAATGGTACACAACCTCATATGAGTTTCATGAGCAAAAGACAGACCTGCACAGCTTGAGCAATTTGTTAAAAGCACCAAAAATGGCCCTTAGGTCCTCTTGTAAGAGCATCCACAGCCGTGTGGCGTAAACCGTGTCCTACGGAAATTTAGGGCAAAATCATCCACAGCTGATGCCCTAAATTTTCACGTAGCTAAGGGAATTCCCTCCGTGCGAGCCAAAATAGGCCAAATATGTTCTATTTTGGCTCGCTCCCTAAATTCATCTGTACCTCGCTTCTCCCATAACTCCCACTTCCACGACCGCACTCCCTGCAGAATATCTCCCTCAATGATCATTTAACCCATAACTCACTTCACAAAATATGCTACAAGCCGTACTGTATGACACCACGGCTGTGCATTGTTTAAAATTTATGCCTCAAACACTTGCCTAAACAATCCGTGCGGCGCTCCATATGATACAAATTTACGGCACGGCTGTGGATGCTCTAAATGGCCTAAGACCACCTAAAACACCACATATGAAATTTCAACGCACCAAATCCCTAATGTTACATCACAAATTCAGAGCCCTTCTTTTCAGTTTACACCAATGTGTGTGATACCAAAATATGTACCATATCCTAAAGAAAGACATACCAGAAGCTTTGCATTTTCTACGGTGAGGTGAAGCGGAGAAGTAAGAAAAACAACATAAGGGGACTTAATTCTTGGAGCTCACACGCCAGAAATTGCAAGTCCGATGTAAGCCCCTCTTCAAGAGCGCGGTGAACGCGCTTGTGAGGGGCTTAGTTAAGCTTATGCTTGTTGTATGTATGTATATGTCTCACGGCTACCCTAAACAAATGTCACAGGTCAGCCCTTTCACATGACTGACCTCCAGAGTGTCTCAAGGATTTGATACACCTAGATGCTGAGTTCAGTTTGTTCCAAACTTCACCATGCACCCCAGGACTACCAAGCTTGCGAGTCAGTGGCTCATTTTCTCTTCATTTTCTCTCCTTCATCCCTCCCTCGCATCTTGAGCGCACTGACGGGTTTCAGGCGCTCAATCTCTCAAGGATGATGATGAGGATTGACAGGCTCAGGCTCATCATCATCTGTCCTTTTTTGTTCGGATTGTGCACTCCTCTTTTCAATACTCCTTCCTTCCCCATTCACCACGAGTTCATCTACTCGGATTATTACTAAGAATTTTTGATTCGTGAACATCTGAATGGCCCCCTATCGCAACAAAGAAATGGCTGGTCCGGCGCCAAAGCCTTATGATTGAACTCCTGCCAGTAAGTCCCCCAATCATCTGACTGCCACCCACTGGTCAATGACCCACCGTGTTGTTTTACAGGAAACAAGGGACCACAAACCCCAAATGTGGACGATAAATACAAGATTGCAAAACCCGGCCACAAATATTCTAACAACTACATGCGAAGTTCTTATTGCAACCAATACATACGCCAACCGCTGCACGACGTTGAACCCAAAGTCATTGACTGTGATGTTGCGGTTGCCCACTTTTTAGAAGAAACTGGTCATCTCAACATCGGTTCAATCCCGCTATCTGTGGACAAAATAATCATGGATTACAACATACTCCCTTTGATCACCAGCCGACAACACAATCTTCAAACCTGCGCCGTCCACATCAAAACGACAATTGATCATTATTACTCCAACCCCAATCGCCCGCATGGTTCTGGGTTACCTTGGGGTGCCTCTGTGTGGAGAACCGGGCTACTCGGTCCATGGACATTTCAAACTGCTGGATCATGCGAGTGCTCCGATCCTCAGGGGTCCCAATGTCAACTTAACTCCATGGCAAATCTCCCTCACACTTTATTCACATTTGCAGACGTGTACTCTGGGGCGGCCAGAGGAGCAGCCGCTTGTGCAGGTCCTGCGCAAATCAGTGATTGGCGCATCACAGCCCCCAACTACTGGTCACTGGCAGGCCAGTACATCCAATGTCTCCAAACTGTTTTCAACAAAACTTCAATTTGTTTTCAGCATAACATCCATCTGCTATCAAGATGTTTTGGGTCAGTTACCAGCAAAATATGTCATACCACCAAAATTGAGATGATGTCATACAGCATCATAAACCTGTACAAACCTGCTCCTGTATTTCCCCACCAAGAATATATAGTTTATTAACCTTTGTGACATAAATTGACTGAGTTATTGAGGTTTGAAAAAAAAATCACGGACAAAAAATACTATTTTTGTACTATACCTCAGAATTGATTCTGGAATATCTTCCAGCTTCATCAATATACATACACAGAAAAATTGATATTCTTTTTGAAAACATTTTTCTCCACATTTTTGTCCCCTAAAGCCTTCCTGTACGGGCAGTATTTCTATATGTAATTGTGGTGTGTACATGAGCAGTCAACAATTTGATTGATTCTTTGTTTCTAGGCAGAATATGGCAAAGTTTATGGCAGAAATTTTTGACAAATACCATCTACATGTATATCAATCAAATTCAGAATGATTTTTGGCAATATGTTGCCTCAAAATTTTTATTGGGGCAAAGAACTTCAGAAAATCAAACTTGCAGACACATTCAAGAATTACATGTGGAAATACTGCCCGTACAGGAAGGCTTTAGGGGACAAAAATGTGGAGAAACATGTTTTCAAAAAGAATATCAATTTTTCTGTGTATGTATATTGATGAAGCTGGAAGATATTCCAGAATCAATTCTTAGGTATAGTACAAAAATAGTATTTTTTGTCCGTGTTTTTTTTTCAAACCTCAATAACTCAGTCAATTTATGTCACAAAGGTTAATAAACTATATATTCTTGGTGGGGAAATACAGGAGCAGGTTTGTACAGGTTTATGATGCTGTATGACATCAACCCAATTTTGGTGGTCTCCCAACCACTTCTCAACAAATTTTGGTGGTCTCCCAACCACTTCTCAACAAATTCTCAATCGATGGATGTTATCCATTTGATATCCATTTCATAACTTTCTCATAACTTGCTCATAACTTGCTAGGGTCGGTGGGAGGCACTGGCCTGCCAGTGACTTGTGATTGGGGGCTGTGCATGTGGCTACCATTCCCCCCTGCAAATTTTAGTATTAAGACCCGTTGCAAAGTGGTGCATGTCATTCAACAGCTCGATAGCAAGGTCCTATTTGCAGGTGAGGACGAGTTAGTTTGTTGAGTTAAGGAGGGTTTGAGAGAGATGATACTGACTGTGTTGGTATCGGTTTTTGCAGCTTCTTTATACTGTTGTTGAGGGACGTTACGGACCAATTGCAGAAGTCTGTTGATCGATGTCACTATCTGCTGTTGTTGGACATCCGTCATGGACAGAATCTGGTTCGTGATGGACAAAAGCTGTGAGTGAATGCTAGGGGATGAAGTAGAGGGAATGGGGGCTGGTGTGATCTAGATATTGTGTTGTTGTCAGAAAAATCCAACAGACAAATCCAATGGTTGAACATCAAATGTGAAGCTTGACTTACAGTCGTTTTAAAATCGCTTGTCAAATTTCGATTTTTGAGCTCGAGGATCAGCCACAGCGGTTGGCCAAATCGAGCGGTTGATTTTTTTTTTTTTTTAAGCTTTTCATTATGGAGAACCAAGAGAGGTTGAGACTCGTACCCCGAGTTATATCTGTGGACGAGTCACACGGGTTCAGGGTACGAGTCTTTGGGGCTGCTGAGCTGCCTCACCGATCAGAATCCGCATCTCAGCTCCGATCTCACCACCACCACATCGATCTCACCACCAATACTCACCACCGATTACATCTAACAGCTCAGATGGACGAGATGGATGGTATTGTAAGTCATTGTGTACCATCAACATATTCTACATGTGATTTGGACTGATCATACATACGCTTTGACGCTTTAGAACGACAACGACGAGGTTGTGCTTTTTGAATGTAATGCTGAGTTCCAGGTCTTCTGTAAGAAAGGAACCACCGCAAAGTTCACCTGGAAAGGGTTTTCAAACAAACATCCCATCCTGGTCGAAGTGATCCCAACTGTAACAACATATGAAGTATTCAAAACCAATATAATCAAAGCTTGCGATCAAGAACGGGCAGGCATAGGTGCAATGATCTTGGCTGACAGTCTTGCTCCGACCCATCCTCTTGGAATCAAGTGGACATGCTGGATTGCAACAGTGCCTACCTATCTCAAGAATAAGTTTCATCCTCTCAACGATCAAGCTGATTTTGATACATGGGTCAAGAAGGTTTGCGATTTCCCTGGTAAAAAAGCTGGTGTATGTATGAAGATGGAGAAACCAATAAGTGAGGCTGAACGCGCCCAAGAAGTGAGTTTAGTTTTTCTTTTTTTTTCTCAAACATTTTTTGACTGACATTCATTCTCAATTCAAGGATAATATGCTAGACCGAGCAGTCCGAGGGATACCAGGTGCAGATGGTCAACTTCTAGACAGGCAACTTGGCGATGACGACGACGCAGGTGAAGAAGACATCACCATTGCGAAGATTACATCGATGGGTAAACCTGACTCTAGAATCGACCGCTTGATTCCTGTATGGATCCTTCCTACAGACAAGACTCGTTATGTCTTGCTTACTCCGGACCGTGTAAACAGATGGGCAAGAGCTATTGTAAGTGCAAAAGAATATTTACTTCATCCATCATTGATTAGTACAACACTGAATGTTGTTTCTTTCTACAGCATGATCCAGCAATCCATGGGGTCAGTCTTACCAGCCCCCCAAGCGATTTATTGATGACTGTCAAGCCAGCAGCACTTGCTAGAGCTCCTCCTAGACAACGCTATGGCTTTGTAGAACCTCCAGAAGACTATGATTATGGAAATATACGGAATCGGCTTTGGATCGTCCTTCGGCTGAGATGTCCAAATATCTCGATTTTGTGAAGATCACCAACCCTGTTATCCTCTTATTTCTCACTAACTGTGACATCACCGATTATCATCAATTCAGTTCAGGAACAATCAAGTTTGAACACCTTGAACGTTTGGATGCTTCGTTTAATGTTGGTATCATTAGCAAGCTTATGGATAATGTTACACGTTTTGATGAGTTCCTTCGTCTCAAGGAGTGAATGACTGGTATGTTTCTCTTGATTCTTTTCATGTAAAGGATGATGTGAATCATTTCAAGCTAATCCAATCATGTTCGATCTTTGTGTGCTTTGACCTTGTTAGATTGCTCTTCCTGCCTTTATCTTTAGTTCAAACAAGTTGTAAAAGAAGAGACACAACACACTTTTAGCGTGAATTGTAGTATTCAATCTGTATGGTATACACTTCCAATCATGTTTGATCTTTGTGTGCTTTGACTTTGTTTGTATGCCTTAGATCTCTCTATCTGCCTTTATCCTTAGTTGTATGAATTTTGTTTGAGATGTCAGACCTTAACTGAGAAAGGTGCTTTGAAACAAACGTTTCACATTCATCACAACTCAAGAGTTTAACAATCAAAAATAACATTCAGACTTGTTTCATTATATTACAAACCAGAGACGAAAAAAATAAGAACCACAAACATATGGTTTGAGGGTGAGTTTAACAATCAAAAGTCACATTCAGACTTGATGAGATGACCATTGAAAGGGATGATTAGTTCTTGTAACAAACTCAAAAAAAACAGTGAAAAAAGATCAAATTTTATTATTTTATTATAAACAAGGAAGGAAATAAAGTTTCTATTCTGTTTTTTTCTTTCTAGTTTTCAAATAGAAAAAAAGAGTAACCAACACTTTTAAGAATATAAAAAAAGACAAAAAATAAAAAAGGGTTAGGACTTTTGGTAACCTATCACACTTAAAATCACCGATTATAATAATGATAAAACACCCGGGGTAAATCATAGCCACAACCATGATAGAGTTTTGCCAACAATGAAGGAGTCAGGCTATTAAAAGCCTGGTCACGTATGAGCCAAATAGGATCCTCATTCGATTCTTCCAGAATCATGTTTCTTCTGAAGGCAGACTTAATGATATAAAAGCACGGCTCGATAGGGTTCAGTTCAGGACAGTACGGTGGTAAATACATTAACCTAACACCTAGACCCATCACATTAAGATTAAGACATTTGTAACAATGTCAGTACATTGTTATAGTCAAAGATTGGACCAAACACTAACCTCGATCTGCACAAAGCGCCGCAACTCAACCACCACAATGAATTGGGGCATTATCCATCACCAGGATACTGTTGATGCCAGGATAAGCATTCATTTGAGGAAGCTACAATAATTACACAAGATATCAGTACAATATTCTGAGAATGAATGAAACTTTAGAAAGAAATTACCAGCATGAACTCCAAAAATTGTTCAAATCGATGTCGATCCATGGTACCATCACGAACAGTCATGGCTAGAATCCCATTTAAGCCAATTGCAGGGAGAAGAGAGTAACGCTTTGGATTGCTACGCTTGATCCAGCGGGTCACTTTTTCGCCTTTTTCAGATCTTCCAAAAACCCGCATTAGATCCCGTTCACATATGGCACTCTCATCTGAAGTCACAGGTTATCAAAAGAGGAGGAGAGAAAATAAACAAAGCAAAAGAAAGTTCAGTCATGTGATAGATCTGAAAAGCATAAAGGGAAAAAATAGGAATACTGCATACCAGTGAAGACAAGATATTCAGCAGGCACAAAATCCATGTCGGCAATCCAGCAGGCTCTTTTATAAAAATCCTTGCGAATATGAGAGGTGTGAGCTTTCTTGAGGGTGATTTCGAGGCGGCGGTTGAGCTCATTGTGAACAGTTTCAAGACATGGAAGGACACCTTGGGCATCAAAGATCTGTACACGGATCTCATCCAGAAATAGCTGAGGTTCATCGGCAACCAACCCCTGAATGAACTCCCGATCCTTGTCCGAAAGCACTGTTGGACGCCCACATTTCTCATACTCGTCGGGGTCGCGGATGACTTGCCTAGTGTTCTCATAAATATCCATCCATCGGTTGAAACTGCGGTGATGAATGTTTTGATCGACAGTATCACGAACTTCGTCTTTGGTTTTGCCTTGAAGGAGAAGTTGAACAGCAATGATTTTGAGTGAGGGGGAGTATTTTACAAAAGGCATTGATCGGTGGTGAGATTGGATGTGGTAGTGAGTATCGGTGATGAGATTGATGTGGTGGTGGTGAGATTGGAGCTGAGAGCCAACCAGATGATTTCCAACACCAGTTTGGCAAATCAAAGGGTCACCGAGGGATCGTGCTTGCACCAGTCAAGCGCCTAACCCTTGGCTTGCAGAGTGTCGAGTATCGGTGGTGAGATCGGAGCTGAGATCAATGTGGTGGTGAGATTGGAGCGCTGTTAGATGTAATCGGTGGTGAGTATTGGTGGTGAGATCGATGTGGTGGTGGTGAGATCGGAGCTGAGATGCGGATTCTGATCGGTGAGGCAGCTCAGCAGCCCCAAAGACTCGTACCCTGAACCCCGTGTGACTCGTCCACAGATATAACTCGGGGTACGAGTCTCAACCTCTCTTGGTTCTCCATAATGAAAAGCTTAAAAAAAAAAAAAAAAATCAACCGCTCGATTAGGCCAACCGCTGTGGCTGATCCTCGAGCTCAAAAATCGAAATTTGACAAGCGATTTTAAAACGACTGTATGTTGTTGCTTGTGATTGATGTGGCGTTCACCATGAGGGCTTCCATTGGACCGTGGTTGTGATGGGTATTGATGTGATGGAGAGTCCAGGCAACGCTCGGATCTCAACGTAATCCGCCGTAACGTTATGTAAAACCCATAACGTTACGGTCGACCGTATTAATTTTCAACCGTTCCGTAACGTTATGGGGTAGCACCATAGCGGAATGCTCACTTTGGTACGGATGTGCCGTAATGAAGTGTACCGCGATGCCTATCTCAAGGCCAGATTTCGGTCATTGCGGCCTAATTCATTGAAAATATTGAAAAAAAACAAAAAAATATATGATAAAGACACCTTAACGAGAGACAAGAAGAGAAGTAAAATACTAGCATGACTCTTGAGAGACAATAGATCAGAAAACATTAAAAGATGAGAGAGAAAGGCCACAAAACAGAAGAATATCATAAAAAGCACGAAAATACTAATTTTTTCTGGGTATCTTCTTACCCTTTTTTCCTTCTCCCTCATACTCTTTCAAGTACTTCACAGCATCTTCAAATTTATCAGTGGGTACAATGCCCTGCTTGATCCATTCCCTGCATCCTACTTTCCGGGTGATTGTGGTGGGAAGGATGGAACCTTGACCAGGGGCTGCAACGTCCGCAGCCGAAGAGAAAGACCGTTCGACACAGCAGGTTGTTGCTGAAATTGATAAGTAGTCCCTTGCCATTGAGGCAAGCAAGGGAAAATCTTTCGTGTGTTTCTGTTTTAACGTTTACAAACGTGTAAGAATAGTGTAAGAAAATGTGACAATTGAGACAAGACGAAACTCACCTTCCACCAGTCTAAAGGCATCTCTTCAGGTGCTATACCAAACTTTCCAGATAGGTAGTCCGCCAGCTCATGGTCATGAGAACTCGAAGCCGGTAAGTTATCGGAAGCTGCGGCAAACATATCGAACTCATCGGCTACATTAGGTGCAGTTGACTCATGAGTATCAGGAGGAGGTTGAGGATCTTCTGGAGTCCATTTAGACAGCCGTTCTTGGAAAACTTTATTCATCACGTCTTGAGCTGAGACACTTGCAGCCGGATAGAAATCTTGAAAAAACTTCAAGCGACGTCGTGGGTTGAGGATTGTTGCGATAATAATGATTTCAGTTTGCAATGTCTCTTCCTGATATTTCTTAAGCCAGGCGAGCATTTCATTGATAGCATTCAAGATACTAGGATATATCGTCTCTTCTTTAAGCATTTCCAGTTTTTTCTTGATACGCAGATACTCGGCAAGGACCTCACAACCTGACGAAAAGTCCCCCTGCATACGAAACGTAGCATCTTCAAATACCTAATCAAACAAAGATAATTAGATTGATCATCTTTGTATAATACCTACCTAATCAAGACTCACCTCAAGGACTGGGTTCAACGCCTCCACGGCTTCCCATTCCTCATCAATTAGGGAAAGACCGCGGTAATATTTATTCGTCTTCCGATCCATGGAAGTCATCGAGTTTAGGATCTGTGAATAAATAATCCACGTCAGTAATGGATTTGTGATATGAATGAAAGAAACAATTAAACTTACATCTTTTCCATTACAAGCCCTGCGACGACTGTCCGCTTTAACATTCCATCTCACACCGTAACCAACCGTAAGTGTTTTAATGCCTTGTTCTTTTGCTTTCTTGGCAAAGTAATTTCTTCTAGATGAACTTGAGCAAGTCAGCTGTATAAGTTTATCAACCTGATGTCACACATAAGAACGGTTCGATTAGCTCAAAAGATTATAAGGTCAAACCTGTTAAGTCAAGCTCACCTTATGAACACTACGTGCCACAATGTCAGCCGATTGCATGATAAGATCTGAAGGTTCTTCAGACAGGCCATCGGTTTCACTTGATTCGGGTACCAAAGAGCCTTGGTCCTCGTCCGACTCGTCAGAATCAATGAAGTCCACATCGTCATCGTTCACTCGAATCGTGGGGATGGGTACAACCAAACCCGGTTTGGTGGTGGGTTTGGTATGTCCTGCGCTGACATCAAGAGTTTTGAGCCCGTGACTCACCATCAGAGCCAGCTTATGACAGAAGCATCTGACATGGCTCTTTTCGGGTGACCAATCCACGGGGGAGTCGCACTCGCTGAATAAACGCGCCATTTCGCGTGCCATTGGCCCATTAGAGGACCCAGAATCTGTAGTTTGTCCAATCATCTATGGGAATAAAGGTCAGAAACGAGTAAAAGAAAAGAAACGAGTAGAAGACACTTCAAGAATACCTTTTTATGTAGGCCATG